GCACAGGAACACACACACTGTGAATCGGTGATTACTCTGTTTGTGCGTGTGTTTGCATGTGTGTGTGTGTGTGTGTGTGTGAACATGTGTGTGCATGTGTGTATGCCATAGGAGAACAGAGAGAAAGAGACAAAGAGAAAAGAGGGTGCTCAAGAAAGAAAGTGGGAAAGTTTAAAAACAAAACGAAAAGCTAATTTCCTTGAGGTTTCTGCATATTTAAAAAATAATGCACAATATAAATACAGCACATTTTCTTTCACCTCAGTACAGTTTAAATGTAAGGCAATAAAGCCCTTGTATATAGGAACAATATTTTTTCAATTCATTATTTGATAAGTAGGAGATTTTTCTTTCAATACAGCCGCCATAAAATCTGTACAGCGTGGTTTGGGGGCATGGCAGGGTCGATTTTAAGGTAAACACTGGAAAAAGAAACTGCCTAATATCTAGCTAATAGAGTCATGCAGCAATTATTCAGATTTTCTTTTCTGAATCATATTGTTTCCTCAGTTCCCTGAAGCATACCATTATTACCAGATGTCGGCTTATTTGAAACATAAAGCGTGCATGTTAAGAAAATACTGCTGAAAACATTATTTTGATTCGATTTTCAACACAAACGTACAGAAACGTGAATCGCCCATATTTATTTTCCCAACAATATTTAACACATTGCATGGCTTTGTTTGGATCTTGGTCTAAATGAATGACAGAAACAAAACAGAGCAAACTGTGACTTCATGTTTGATCTCTTTAAAGAACGATCATGCCTTGAGGAAATCATCCGAGAACAAGCAGAGCTGACTGGATCCATTTACTGCTCCCAAAGACTTAAAAGACTTGAATGTCATTTTAATTTGAAATACAACGTGACTAAATGCTAACTGAATTAACCCCAGCCTGTGGTGCCATATCCAGTCCAGAAATAACCGACTTAAGTGTGTAAAAAACAGATCGCTACATCGTCCACTTACATAAATCAAAGATACAGCGCTTAGCCGGCCATATGTTAGATTTTATATTGAAGAGAATGTGCTGACCCCAAGGGCTTAATTCTGCTCTGACTGAGTGTGTGTGTGTATGTACAGTATGTGTGTGTGTGTGTTTAAGTCCGTACTGACAGTATGCTCATGTATGCCCATGGCCCTGTGGGCTCTTCCACGCTGTCACTTTACGTTAGCCAGTCGTTTCCTCCGGCGCTGCAGAAAAGCCCGGCTGCTCAGCCTCAGAGGAAGCAGGCCGTGGTGCTGCTGCTATTTTTAAGACAGGATTTAGCATGTTAAATGTTAAGGGGACAAACTGGGAGCTAGCTTTTCTAATTAGCATGTCAAGACCTTTTTCAAAGCAATGGCAGCTCAAATACTAATTCTCATAACCCTAATGCTCTCTCCCACTCTCCCACTTTTTTGTCTTCTTCTCCAGTCGAGCCGCAGTGTTTCACTAAACACTCTCAAAAACCATTTGGTGACCTAGATTTTGAAAGCAAGTGGAGACGTGCCAAAACCACTGCTTGGCTAGCTTCCATTAGCTCGTTTCTACTATGTAGGGCTGAGTGTTTGGAATAATTGATGCTGGCTGCAGTGCGCTGATCACCAGGCGATGCTGACGTCTTGTTTCAGCAGACTGAGTATCCAGGTCAGAGGGAGTGACATTATTTCCAGCTTTCCAATGCATGTTATGTCTATACTCGATATGACTCTGCTCACTCTTTTTTCATTTTCCACTAGGGATAGTACCTCGTAGCGAGTCCTTTTTCTGGTATCACCTCAGACAAGGTTCAAAGGAGCTCAAGTAATACTAGAATGTGACGTTTAAACATTACATAGCACTGCTAACTGTAAACATATAATCCAGAGAATCAATGGTTTGCAATATTTCCTAAAAGAAACTGTGCACAGTGGGGTCTGTTTCAATTTGCTTTGCCATGTATAAGGGAAAATATCTGATATTTCGTATCACCAACCACCACCCAAATTGGAGGTGACAGCCTGCTTGACATTAGTATAAACACACTATAACAATCTGAAAACATTGGCCTTGAGATTGACTTGATGCAGAGACGTATTTGTGTTTGGAAAGAGCAGAAAAGGTTTTTGTTTTGTTCTGCTGCACGCGTACATTTTGCCTCAAAACCAGCAGGTGGGCAGATGTGTTTTTATTCTGCAGATTCGCTCTGACAAACCAAACCAGAAACTCCGCTCTGCATCCAGCCTGTGGGTTTATACAGCAGCAGATACACAGTCTGTCCTCTGAGTGTCAGTCAGGCTTATAGCACACGCTGAAAAACTGTGTTACAGATACAGTAAATGCCATCGCTTACATAGACTCAGACTTGGTGGGAGACACTAACCCCATTTGCTGCTTCATTAAACAACTATTACATGACAGGAGAAGACAGGCCAAGTTAAACTGTGATTACACTTAAACAGTGAGACGTGCCAAACTGTGCTTTTGACAGCTTCATCAGCGGTAAAACGGGAATATGGCGGCGAGAAAAACCTCATACACTCAGACTGGAGTTCTCAAGAAACGTGACTTTAACTAGGGCTCTGTGCAAAAAAAAATTTGATCGTTTTGTAGAAGAGAGATGGGAAAAGGTATTCTTTCCAATACACGTTAAAAGGGATTTTCTGCAGGCGTGTTT